TAGTCGATGAATATCGATAAAGTTTCGTCGTTGTAAGCGATATGTCGCTGTATTCGATGTTGTTATAGGCGGTATGTTTGCTGAATAGTTTACTAGAGATTCGGGCGGGACTTTACAATCTGGCTGTAATAACCGATCGGTCGTTGTAAACGATGTCGTTATAATCGGTTTTGACTGTAATTAAATTTTGTCTCTGTGAAATCTCTTCTGATGGACATTGTATCCATTTATGCAGTTTTCTGTTTTTGACACTTCGATTATGTCTTTTGTAGGAAACAAAAAAAAATAGCAAAATTTTTGCCCAATGCATAGTACTTAGAGTTGAGTATAAAACACACGACTCTTCTGTAGACACTGGAACAAAACACAAAAGATAAATTACAGTAGTAATTTGCAAATAAACAAACCACATAACCTCAAAAATTAGACGTTTTTTAATAAAAATCGTTGAATTGACACACATACTTCCGATTTATTAAAGTCGCAGTTTTATTTAAACACAACTTTTAAATAAACAATTAAAAAAGATAGAATGAAGTAGAGGCGACATAAACACTATTTTGCCATATGACAAGTAGACGCTATTTGAGTTCTATTTTGATTAATTTGAAGTTAATAATTTTATATTTGAAGATTGATAAATGTTTTTATATAATAATAATAATTTATTTACCAAAAATAATATAAAAACAATGTATAATGTATATTAATGTAAGTTCGTTCGAGATAAATAAACAGAAACACCCACAAAAAGAATCCTTGAGCATGGGTTATTATTGGTTATTTAGGACGAGCAGTCTTAATAAAATACAATATTACAATATTACAATATTATAAAAAAATGAAAAATTATACAAAAATAATATTTGGAATAATATGAAAAACAGTTACGTAATACTAAGTTTAATTTAATATTAATATTTACATTAATAATAAATTAAACTAGTAAATCACGCTATTTTAAAAAATGGCATTTATTCTCACCAAAACTGATTAGCTCGAGTTTGACATATGACGTAAAAGTGTAATGCAAAAATGTAGACACTGTAGTATCGTCATAGCATCTCCTCTTTATTCTATCTCAATGATTGGAAAGGTTCGTATGCCACGACATAGTTTGTGACGTCACGCCTTGTTTATTTGCGGTGAACAAAATAGCGTGGTTTTAAGCAGTCACATTGGCCGCATTCAGCAGAAGCAACCGATTATCAAACAATAACTTAGCGATGACTTATCGATTAGTGAATCTCCTGAATGAACTTTTTAGGCACTTCGACAGGCGACATAAAAGTGACATGTACTTCATCTAAAACATAGGTACAAAATTTAGAATAAAACACCAAATAAATTACTCAACTACATTATTATAAATTAATAGATTTGCCTGATTTTAATGCATTGTGCAACACTTCATTACCTACTACGAGGTACAATATATTTCATATTGTTATAAACATATATCACTTCAAATTCCTTCATTTCAGTGAAAAATGACACATCCAGTGTAAAAATGAATTCAAAATAAACATAAAATAAGGTTATGAGTTATGAGAACCACCACAAAACATTCACTTCAGTTGGTATGAGTTCTAAATCTAATCACGATGTGATAACTAATCGTATTTCAAATTCGATGTTTTAAATGGCGGCCGATAACTCATCATTTGATTACTAATCGCTCTTTTATATATCATTCAGCAGAAAATCATAAATCGATTGCTTCTGCTGAATGCGGCCATTGTTTCGCCTAGTTTCATGGATCTGTTGACCTCTCTTTTTAACTACAGACATTTGAGGAAACGACTGGCCACTCTGATGCTCAATCGGCATTATGAACCGACAGAGACGCGGCGAGTCAGAGCGCAGTGGCGTAAAAAAAATAGAGATAAACATGTATGAAAATACTCAAATATTAAAATAATAATAATAATAATAAAGTGCCTTTATTTTGCATTGTAATATACAATACATGAAAATATATAGAGGCGAAGTCTAGCTAAGCTACTCCACTTAACCTCTAAACAGTAAGTAATTTGTTTACAAACAAAATAATATTTAGAAGACATAAAAATTGATTTACGGAATTGATTTTATATAGAACAATAGCAATTTAATACAAAAAAAGTATTAAAAATAAATTAAAAAAATGGTAATAAAAATAAAAGTATAAGGTAGTAATCATAATGCAATGCCCTCATTGATTAGCTAATAAACTAAACTTTAAGCGTCTTTTAAGATGTTTCAAAGAATGCGTCCTTATTTCCAATGGAACAGTATTGTAAATGTTTACAGCATTGTAAGTAAAACAACGGTGAAACATGGTAAGATTGAATGTGGGTAGTGTTAGAGTGTTTGGATATCTTAAGTTTACATTATGTACATCACCTCGATATAGTAATTTGTCCTTTAAATACGCAGGTTGAGAAGTCGACAAAATGCGAAAGATTAAAGCAGACATTTATAATTTAAATAAATTTTCTATTTTGAGCCATTCTAATTGTTTTATTTTAGACGAAACTCTATCGTACTTTTTTAATCCAAAAATAAATCTGCAACATGAATTTTGGATTTTTTTGCAACCTATACTTCGTAATTAAATTTATATTTTTATGTTATTTATGTGATTTTAAAATATTTTGTTTTTATGAAATGTACGAGGGTTGCCTTTTATAATCCAGGATTAGAGAACAGAAACAAACATTAATAATCGAAAATCACTATATTATTTTTCAAAATATTCTCCATGAAGATCCATACACTTCTGCATGCGTTTGAACCAATTGTCGAAGCACGTTTGCTACTCTGATTGAGGTATCTCCAAAACACGCATCAACCGCTTCTTCAGGTGTCGAAAAACGTTGACCTCTCAGTTTATATTTTACGTACGGGAATAAAAAGAAGTCATTTGTGACAAGTCAGGATTATACAGCGGATGACTCATCACATTGAGTGCTCAAAAATGCAGTTGTTTGAGCCGATGTGTGAGAGCTCGCATTGTCGTGGTGAAGAGTGATCCGTCTTCGGCGGTTGGATTTCCTCATTTCTTGGACGACTACAGGCAAACAAATGGTTGTGTACTACTCAGAATTTACTGTTCTGCGTTGTTCTAGAGGTACGGTTGCGACATGTCTAGTTTTTCCTAAAAAACAGGCGACCATTTGCTTGGAAGTGCTTCGTGCGCGAACAACTTTTGTTGGATTTAGCTCATCTTAAAACACTCATACAGTCGACTGCTGTTTACTTTCGGGCTCATACGCGTAAATCCACGATTCGTCACCTGTCACTATGTCATAGACGTGTTTCGAAGCACCGCGATCATATTTTTTGAGCATTTATTTCGACAAATCGACACGGGCCTTTTTTTGAACGATTGACAAATTTTTTTGACACTCAAATGTTCATGCAATATTGAATGTATGCTGTTCCAACTAATGCCTAAGGTAGTCTCAATCTCACGATAGGTCACATGACGATCTTTCAATATCAGTTCGCGCATCAATGATTTTGGACGACCTTCACGAAATTCGTCTTGGAGCCAACTACGATCCTGATTGAATTCATCATGCCATCGATTAACACAGGTCCTTGAAGGAACTTCATCACCAAAAATTGAATTAAGTGCACTGTTTCTGAGTTCTATCTATCTATCTATCTATCTGAATTAGGGCGTGGTTCAAAGCCCACTTGTACTGAAGCTCTAGGCTTATTGTACCCTCACAGTTTCTATCCCATCAGATTGATTTTCTTGATGAATTTAAGAATATGTTTGATGGGCGCTTTCGCGATTTCTTCAGGTTCCGGATATTGTACCCCGAAGTACCATTACCGTTCCCATTTAAGGTTCCGACAGTGGCATAGTATGTGAATAGGAGTTTCGTCCTCCTTTTCAAATATTCTACATAGGGAGTCATCATGTATTTCTAAGAGATTTAGGTGTCTTCTAAGGCCGCAGTGTCCCGTAAGGAGTCCTATTACGGCCTTGAGTTCGCTTCTGCTAAGGTTTAGCAGTTGATTTTGTCTGCTCGTGGATGGCCCCTCTATGAATCTTTTGGACTGTCTAAGTCCAGGAAGTTTCAACCAGAGTCTTTGGTGTTATCTATTTATTTGTTCCTTTAACCCCCATTTAGCATGTTGGTATGATATACTACATGTGGGTTCTGGTCCAATAGTTTTTTCCGTTCCCTTCCTTGCTAGGAGGTATGCTTTCTCGTTTCCAAACACTCTCTCATGTCCTGGCACCCATTCAAGGGTAACCTTGTTATGTTCTGCCAGGGCCTGGAGGGACTGTTGGCAATCAAATATTGATTTAGATTGTACTTCTATCCTTTCAGTGCTTTAAGGGCTGCCTGACTGTCTGTCATGATAAAGATCCTCATCTCTAAGAGAGTCATTTAGCATGACTTTGGCGCAGGCATTTATTGCTGTTACTTCAGCCTGGAAGACTGTTGTCGGTAACCCCAGGTTCAGACTAATTGTCCTCCCTGAGTTCACATGGTAGATATGTGCTGTTTTTCATTTTGGAACCGTCTGTATACCAGATTGATTCGTTTTGTTTTTCCTGATGAGTTAATCCTCGTCGAAAGTGGTAAAAAATATTCGCACGAAAATGTTCATGATTTAATTCCATTTTTTGGCTGAGATGAATCTTTTAAGTTACTGTAATTAACACAAATAGCGCTCATATGTTAAAACGTTCTGAGTACGCATAACTTCAAAAATGTCAAATTTTGCGACAGAGCTGTCAGTTTCCAGTTTGCAACACTAGGGTTGTCCAGTCCCGAAATATAAAAGACAACCCTCGTAACTGGGTGTTTACTGTACAACTGAACCAATAGAGAATCCGTCCCTGCTTGCAAGTAAACAAATGCTTATTTTTATGAATGAAAGAATCAATCTAGTAATTGTTCATCATTGGATAAATATCTCGACTCATTAAGGTGTAAGAGTCACATTAGGTAAAACTCAAAACTATTTGATGAATAAAACGAACTTATTTTTAGGGTATTTATGACATACTCATTCAATTGTGGGGGATCCCGCTTCTACCTTGGGAACCCCCACCGTTAGTGTACAATATATATGCTAGCGAGGTTATGTCTCATCCAGTTGTTACTTTAAAATGCGTAGAAAATGTTGGCCACATTGTGGAGCTCTTGAAATTAACCACTTATAATGGATTTCCTGTAGTGGATCCACCACTGACTGATCAGGTATTTTTTTATTATTCATAAAACACATTTCAAAGAAAAAATATTAATTTACGATTATCTTTGTTTTAAAATAATTGTTATCTATTTTAGAGTGAAGTTACCACTTACGGTCGAATTAGAGGCTTAATTTTAAGGTCGCAACTTATTGTGATATTAAAAAGGAAAATTTTTAATGAAACTTCTGATGATTGGGACAATATAAACGTTTCTATTTTCAGAAACGAATATCCCAGATATCCAACCATCGAGGTGAGTTATTTTTATTAATTTGGTAATTATCAGTATATTTTTGAGTGATTCTTGGTAAGAACCAATAAATAATACCAATCTACCATTATTCGTTTATATTTACGAAGAAACAGTAAATTTTAGTAAATTGTAATAATAAAACTAAAATCAATTCAATAAATAGTAAGCCATAAAAATGTATAAGATGTTAAAGGTACCATTTAGGAACGCGAGACCGAGGAAAGAGGCAGAGTCAAGCGATCGAGTAAGGCAACCGAAATGCACCTTTTTACGTCTGAATCATATGTAATTAAATGAAACACATTTGGGATAAAGCGACCCATGCAAGAGACCGCGACAGCACTTTGAACACGTAACGTAAGTGCATCGGTCGTCTGTCGCGGTCGCACGCTTTGGTCTGGCGTTCCCAAAGTGTACCTTAAGAGTATTGAGTTCCCGTTCGAAAGTTCCGAGGTTCAAATTCCGAGTGACGTCATTTTTTATCGAGTTCATTTTATCTTTTAAATTAGTAAAAATCATAAATTCAAATCTGTATTAATTATTTTGGAAATAGTTATTTTTAAAATAATAGTTATTTTTAATTATTTTTAAAATAGTTATTTTTAAAATAGTTATTTTTAAAATAGTTATTTTTAAAATAGTTAATTTTTAAAAGTTATTTTTAAAATAGTTAATTTTAACTTAGATATTTTACCTTCTAAATTCATTTTTAAAATTTTGTAAGTTTATTTAATGGATCGCAGAAAAAAGAAATTCAAATCTCTGTAATAATTATTTTTTTTTAAATAGATATTTTATCTTCAATTTTAATTTTTAAAATTTTGTAAACTTACTCTAGTATATTGTCCGTATCGCACTAAAACTTCGTCTTCATACCATATGGACATCATATATCCACTTTTGTTGTACAAACTACTATTTTTTTTTTCAGGATCTATTTATTGCCGATGTAGAAAAGACTTATTCTATTGATCTCAGACCTTTTATGAATCCATCGCCCTACACTGTATTACACGTAAGTGTGCTTTATTATTAATGTATTTTAAGGCTGACGAGGTGGCGATACTGAGAGGTGAGGTCTGTTTGACAAGCTGTCAAAAAGTGTTATATTCAAAATTATTTTGTTTCAAAATAATACTAGCTGACACTTACCTGTATTAGAATTCCTTAAGACAAGATACTTAGCGCACGCCTATGAGGTCCCTTTATTGTAGTGTAGCGCCATCTTTTAGATTAGTTTGCTCGCTCTGACTGGTCTCTCTTGTGATTCTTATGCTTTGGTAAAGGTGAACTCAAAAGTTTCTCTCATGACCTTATCTTTACCTAATAAGATCTTGTTTAAATGTGATGCGGCTTTAAATGACTGTTTCGTTATTACCGTGTGGACCTCTCGTCTCAATATCGCGCCCTAGTGTGAAAACAATACCGGTTATGACCTTACTAGAGAAGAATTTTTATTGATTTTAGTCCTCATCCCTTCCAAGGATGTTTAGACTATTTAGAGGACTTGGTTTACGACATTTACCAATAGTTAATGATTCTAATGAGGTGAGTTGTAGTTTGTGTATATTTTTGATATTGTTACTCGAGTTTTGGAATGTTTTATCTAGCAGTTATAATAAATAATTAATAAATATTAAAATTTCAACCATAATCTTCAGAAAAAAATAATACAATAAAAAAATGTACTAGAATATATTTAGAGTACAAGTGCATTCAAAACAAAGAAAAGTGAGCACTCATAAAGAACTCAGAGTACAATGACACTACCTGCAGTAACTGACAGTTCGGATTAGTCACATTCATTCCAATATCTTCATGACAAATATTACTTTAATATCTTGGAAATGATATGGTTTGTTAAAGTACGCAAAACTTTAGATTAGCATTACTTAGTCGGTGTCCTCAGTCTTGAAAGTTTGCAAGCTGGCGTCATTCACATCATGTTGCCATATGTAGTTTTTATAGTGGTTGGTTTAAAGCGATGTCAATCGAAAAAACAACATTTGTGTAAAACAAACATTGTTTAAACTGTTTTTGCCCTTCAATTAAATCATGTCATCTTATTGATTTTATTTTTTACAAATTTAATTTTGTGATAAACGTAAAAATCGCTTAATTTGCCAAAATCGTCTTGTTTGGCAACCATGCTAACATGTGAGATTCGATTGTCGGCTATTTTCTTCTACTGCCTCGGTGGTTGTGCTGGAAGTAAATCCCGAGGTTTTTTGTTATTTCGTTTTATTTATAACTTATTGGAATATAAATGATAATAAACCAGTTGCAGTGCAAAAAGAGTAAAGCTGGTAGAACACTCGCGCGATTTTCCAACTTTAAAGTTTCGGATGTGGTAGAAATATGTTCTGAACTTAAAAAAGTTTCAGTAACTGCAATTTTTAACGTTTTAAAAGAAAACAAAATCGGAAACCAATTACAAAAAAACGAAAAATCCAAGCCGATAGGACGTAAGAAAATAGGCTAACGTAACAAAACGGCTGAATGCGCTAGTTCAGTGTGATGTCATTTTGGTTCCACTGACATTTAATTCTAACCAGACTTTTAACAAAAACATCAATAAATTTGACATATACGTTTTCACTGTTTTTATTTTATTTCAAAATATTGTTTACAGGTCATAAAAATAGTTTAAAAGTATGTAATTGGTAACTAAACGATTGTATATTTGATACATGCTATCTACTTACTTTAGGAATATATTTATAAAAATGAGAAAAACGATATAATTTAGGTAAACAAAACGAACAAAACGCACTCAAAAAATCCACTGTCACTTTAATTGTCAGTGGAACTATAATTACATCATCACTGAACTAGCGCATTATAAAACGATAAGACTAAGAGCCAGCGACCGCCAGACCTACGTTATAGTATGAAAGTTCAGATTCTCCATGTAGATAATAACGTTTAGGTGTTATGACTCTTGACTACATATTAAAAGTTTGAATCATATACGAGGGAGGTAAAAAAGTATGAATTTAGCTCAAGAGTAAAGACCCTTTATTTTTAAATACAGAGAAAAAGGTTACTTGAAAACCTTGTTTAAAATCATTATTTATCAACAAATATGAACCGCCTGACACATCCGATGGGAACAGTAAAAGGCCAGGCACGACTACAAGCAAAAGACCATCATTCGTGTTAGTCAGAGTATTAGTATAGTTTATCAGTAGAGTCAATCGGGTCGGTGGTGTAGCCGTCTAACGCGCTTATATTCATTTATAGGCAAGTTTATGGTCCGAGACTGCCGGGCTTCGAGTCCCAGACCAGACCATGTGGATTTTTAATTAAATTGCATGGTTCGGTATAGGATTTGATGTGTGCCGTATTAATAGAAATTCAATTTCTGTTGATATGACATGCAGATTATAAAATCGCCATGCATTACCGTCTCGATGATGGTGGGTAAGGTTTTCCTCACCTGTAAGTCAAATGGCACCATCAATCATCTTTAAGTCGCCCTGGAGCGCCACGGCAAATAATAATAATAATAATAATAATAGCCGTCCCTTTCCCCGCACAAGCTCAGCTTTTGGGGTTAAAATTCACTCGTAAGGGGGTGAATTAGGGAGAGTACTATTATTATAATAAAAATTAAAAACAATTTTCCTAAAGAATATTTTTATATATAGTGTGACAAAAAACGTCTGCACCTTATAGAAAATTTTCTGATTATTTTTCAGAAAATTTTATTCTTGATAAAAGTTAGTACACGACCTAAAACCTACTGCAAACTTCATAAATAATAAAAAGTTTGAATCATATACGAGGGAGGTAAAAAAGTATAAATTTAGCTCGAGAGCAAGAGTCCTTATTTTTAAAAACAGAAAATGTCGCTTAAAAAACTTGTTTAAAATTATTATTTATCAACAAATATGTGAAAAAAAAAATATGCATTTGGCTCAAGAGTAATTATTTTTTGTTAGAATCCAACCGTAGTTTATTGTATGGTGGTTGCGATTTTTCATATTTGCTGATAAATAATAATTTTTAAGATTTTTAAGTAACATTTTTCTGTTTTAAAAAATATGAGTACTTCACTCTTGAGCTTAATTTATATTTTTGTAGTAGGTTTTAGGTCTTGCACCTACTAACTTTTATCAAGAATAACATTTTCTGAGAAATGAACAAACATACATTTTTCTACTATTTACTACTATAATATACAAAAATATCTTTTACGACGTACGAATTTTTTTATTTCTTATTTACTGATAGATGCTCTAAACTAATAACTCTGACTAGAACTTATGTGTACGAATGATGCTCTTTTGCTTTTAGGCACGTCTGGCTTTTTACTGTTAGACACGTCGGATGTGTCAGGCTGTTATTATTTGGTAATAATGATTTTAAACAAGTTTTTCAAGTAAACTTTTCTCTATTTTTAAAAATAAAGGCTCTTCTCTCTTATGCTATATTCATTTCTTTGCCTCCCTCTTCTATAGTTAAGTTTTTTTAATAAGTATCACTTTTGTTTTATGTCGTGTACTAACTTTCATCAAGAATAAAATTTTCTGCGAAATTTACAATAAAAAAGTTTTCTATAGAGAGCAGACATTTTTCGACACATTGAAGGCTTGATTGGAGATTAAAACGTCATAGTTGAACATAATAAAAAGTCAGCTTTCTTACAATAACGTAATTTTCCGACATTTTTTGGTACCTTGAGGACCTATTATCTACCAAACCACCTGTAGTCAAGACCTAAACGTTATTATCTACTATCATGTGCATAGGCATAAAAAAATCTTAACCTTCATATTAAAACGTAGGTCTGGCGATCGCTAGCTCTTAGTACAGATAATAGTTTTCCAAAAATATCGCGAACTGTTTAAATCCGGAATATGGCCAAAATTAAATTTAAGTATTGTAGACGAAAACATAATAGTGCCGTTATAGAAATATTATACGAAATTATCGTATGGAGTAAAAATTCGATCCTTGGAGCAAATACTTCTCTATGGAGTCTTACTCTAAGCCCCGCACTACATTGTGTTCAACATCTAGGGCAAAATCCATAGTTTTTCATGGGCTTATTTGCACTGTTGCCAAGTTTGACAGCGCCAGTTCTAACAAATAAAATAATTTTTCCAATTTTAACGTATAAAGTGGCATTTTTTGTAATCCCAGCAAGTGACAAAATGATCTACTTTATGCAACCAGTTACAGAATGTTGAACATTATGTAACTGATTACGAAAAGTTCATTATGTCACAAGTTGCGAAAGAAAACATAAAAATAAACCTTTTTTTTTTTGTTTTAAAATCAATATATACATTGCTTTGTGTATATCAAAGAAAGGAAGGTTGGCTGTATAAAAATATATTTTTTCTACTCCCACATTTATATTAGCTTATCAACGCACAGACTACAAAACGAAAAAGTATGCTATTGCGTTTAACTGAACGAATATATTTCATATCCTTTCTAAGTAATAAAAACACTGCAAAAAAAATTAAATCCACCAATCACAGTTCAATTATTTCTGTTGATTTCCGCGATTTCTAACGAGTCCTAACACGCACGATATATGAGTCAGGAGAGTTTTTTACCTCTATTGTAAAATTTACTCTTTGTGGGTTACGAGGTATTAAAATTAAGTCATCGATATATTCACTGACATTGACATGACATCAGTTTACAAACTTTCGGATCCGAGGTATAGGAAACCAGCGTACAATACAACAATATAAATAACATTTTTTACTTTTACCAGAAATTTTTGAACATTTAATATAATTTCTAGGTAGTAGGAATGGTTACGAGGAAGGATTTGGCACGCTACAGAATATGGAGTCATAGAGGCCACATAGGTGTTGAAGAATTATTGATTTCCAAAGAAATATAGAAGTAATTCTAGGCTGTTTTAACAAGTATTACTATTAGAAAAATATTTTTATAATCCGTACATATTTATTTATATTTTAATGTAATTCTAGAAAACGGTGTCATCACATAGCGTCCGAAATAGTACATGACGTCATATAACGTTGCAAAAAATTCGGTAAGCATTTCGGTGGAACTATCTAGATGTAAATTGCGAGCGCGTGGGTAGATGTATTTTTACGTTTATATTAAATTTAAATAAAAAATGTACACTGTACCGACACCGTCTAAAAACGTTGGTCAAATTGTTTTAAGTCGTTATTGTTCACCGCTACTATTTTAAATTACGCTCTCTTGGAAACCAGTTTGACTGCACTGCATGGAATTTTTTTCTGACCCACTGCATTATTACGGACGCTGTACGTATGTCGTCTTATTCAACTAACTGTTGCGTAGCAACTTTGGGATCGATGTTGTATAATAATATTAATAATATAATATATTATACCAGCAAAAAATTACACAGTATCCGTTCGTTCTTTTACATCAATTTATCAATGATAAACTAACAGCCATCAGTTTTAATCCTCGATGGTTTCAATATATGGTTTTTCCTATTAGATGTGACAACTGACAATTCATAAATTAATTGATTTGTTCGATTGTAAGAAAAACGAAAATATAAGCTTTAAGAAAAACATACTTTTAAATTAAGGGACGGACATTAAAATTCTTAACACAAATTGTAACCAGCAACAGAACTGTGAACTGTTATTTCTGTCAACTATCAACCACAAATAAGACGAATCTAACACAAGCTGTTAACGATCGCACCGGTGAAACAGCGATTCCAACAAATTTATGGAAAAAAGGGCACACGATATGTGACGATACCGCTTTCTTAGAAACCAAATCTTAAGTGTTTGTACTTTCTTTAAGGGACTATGGTTCTTTTGGTCTTAAATTCGATAATTTTTGGGCCTTAAAGGAGATGTATCAATTCATGCCTTTTTGTCACAATTAATTCGACCAAAACGAATCCAAACCTGATATTAAAGTCAACATATGATGATTCTAAAAATTTACAAATAATCTAACAATATTATCAAATTCTTTAATATATTATGTGATAATGTTAGTAGACAAAATTATCTACGGACCAGTGAACTTGTATTGTAATACTTATGATACAAAAATTGTTTTTTATACAAGTCGCGACTAGTACACAAAAGCACTTCACACACGTGTCATACAACATTTTATCTACGACCACATTTGAAACAACCAAATACGAAATCTTTAAACCATTCAATGTGAAATTATGATTTGTTTAATCTGGAACAACAAAGGTATTAAGTATACGGGTGTTTTAAAAAAAAGTGGCCCCGTGGCTAGGTTAAGTAGAGTACTGAAAAATGAGTGGGGGTTAGTATAAAATTGTAACGGCATCCGTTTTCGAGATACAGAGGCTGTTGAAATTTCAAGATTTTTTGTTTTTTCTTTATAGCTCCTGCAGTTTTTGAAATGTTTAGCTCAAATTTGGAATCTAGGTTTCACTGTAGGGCTTACATCATTGAACATGCCAAATGTTTGTGAGAATCTACAATGAAATATTTGTTGAGGGGTCATGTCACTTTTTCTTCCCCTGTACTTTTTTGCAGTGCGTTACTGGTATAATATGATATAAAAAATTAATTATCTGCTTTGTTTAGAAACTTTTTCGTCTCTTGTAGTGTTTTATATCTGCGACCGTTATCGATAAAAAAAATAAATAAAAAAAAGTCGTTTGTTTCTAATTCGCTAAATGGAAGTAAAATTATCTAGAAGGCTCTGGCTTTTTTGTGGGTAATTAGGTATTCCAACGACCTGTCAAACTGCTGACAAGTGGGAACTGACATTTAGATATGGCAACCCTGTTGTCATTGACGGGATCAATGCTACATATATAGTTATATAGATTGCTCAAAGCGGGTCGTTTACGAGCGGCCATATTGCCTCGCAAATGCTCATTAATTAGAATCCATTTTGCAAAAATGTGTTTACAAACCAATATTTAGCCTTTGAATATAGTAAGAAAATAATCCCCTATATTTTTACTTCAAGGCATAAGCTTATGTTTATTTTGAAAAATATGGATGATCAGTCTATGTAACTATATCTATTTCATTGACCTTGTCAAATCACCAGGCCTACAGGTTTGCCCATGGTATAAAAGGTTTGCCATTCGATCATGTATTAGGATATATTCGCCTTACCTGTGGAAGTAATGGGTTTAATGATTATCTAGACGGGGAGAGAGGAAAGGTACACAAACGGAAAACATGGCAGTGCTGTACCGTATGGAAGGGGTCATATATTGTTAATTACTATAAAATGCTAGATGAAAGCGGATGGACATGATTTTAAAAATATTTTTTTATAGCATATATTTTTAACTTTCAATGTAAGAATAGTATTTTACAGGCTTGTCATTTTGTATATTATTTACTCAATTTTATAGGATTAGTAATTGTGTACTTTAAACAATTTGTATACATTTTGAGTAAATATACCTACTATAAAGCTTGACTGATGAAGGAAAAAAAATAGAAAAATATTGTGAAGAACCCGTTTTATATGTGAAGCAAGAATATTATACATATTTCTGACTACATACCTTCCTTTATGAAATAAAATAAAGACCAATTAAAGCATTTTATTTATCAACTAAAAATAGTTTTACAAAATACGGAGATTAATGAACTTTATTATTTACAAAGTACTGTAGCAATATTTTGCCGTACACAAGTTAGAGGAAACAGAAGAAATAATGGCATTGTGTTTGTTCTCTATTTTAACAATTGTGACAATGCATGAAGTGGTGTGACTAATTTAAAATGGGTACCATCAATTGAAATTTTCTGATATTTTTAAATACCTATAATAAGAATTCCTTATTTAAAATGGTTTCATTTGGATAGATGGCTATTTTTTAGAAATTTAAATGCAAACCTACAATAAATAGGTAAATTTTATTTAAAAATTAAGTTCCATATTAAATATAATTGAAAATAAGCTTCAAGATTTAGATTTTAAGATTTATTTTCATTTTTTTTTTTTTAATAATATTTAAAGTAGTTCATTCGTAAAACGGATTTTCTTAAGAATTCAATAAAATTGAAACATAAGGATAATGAAAGTGACTTTTACGTACCTAACTAAAAAAAAATAATTTTTTTTTGACCGTCTGTGAAACGAGATATTAACAATGAAATTGTGCATAATTAACAGTCTTGAAGCCTGTCATGTACACAAGCAATGCATTTATTTCAAGATATCTCGAAAACGGTTCTTACTATATTTTTTAAAAACTAATGTAATGTAAATCAAGAAGTTATAAAATTTTCTAAAAAAAAACGCTGAATTTTTTGACGGTTTTGGTAAAAAGATACCTATAGATTTTTAAAGCAGTCCACGCGTAGTGGTGTATAATGATTATAACTTGGCAACATTGTTAGTTCAGAATCACTGATTTACACTCGATCAGCTAAGAGGTTGTTATAACCTCGTCACGTGTGTTCTTGAAAAATTAATTTGTCTACTGTATTTGAGAACTGGAATCGACAGTTCTGTTTGAACCAAAACAAACCCTTAAAATTAGTATGAGAAAGTTACAAATTTCTATAGGTACACAGTTGATAGCGCACCATTCATATATTTGTGACTTTGCTGGATGTATTTTACTTGAAATAATAACGTATCCATACATAAGCTTACATGTGTTGTTTAGTCTCTTACAAAAATAACATTTTTCAGCATTGAGAATCTCAAACTTTGGCGATATTTTTGTGTACGACTGTCGCGCGTGAACTACCTTAATAATTACTACATGTAAACAATTCATTTGAAATTTGTCGCTATTAGATTCTATAAGTATTTAGTATATTTGCAGTAAAATTGTTTACTATTTAAAATTCATTGGTTATATTTAAGCAGGACCCCGCGCATATGAGAACATTATGTTCCTCCATAATCCAAGTAGGTTTATAGTTTTGAATATTTTGTCTTGAAATTGAATTCTGATATTTCGAAAGAATAGTAATTTGCATGGTTTTTTTGCAATATTCCACATTTTAACTAACAGTTGGCAACGTTGCAACCATTTGCAATTATTATGAGCGCAAATAAACAATATTTTCATATTAATTTGCTTCTAAATGCCCAATTAAACGAATACATGAAGAATTTCTTAGAATACTGAAGACTTTTACGTAAAAATGATTAAAAATGCCGATGCGATAGCTAATTGTACAAAAAAGGCTTACAAAAATATGAGTGACATGTCACGACGCTTTTGTCAAAAATACGGGTAGATTAGATATTAGATTTAAAAGGAATTTGAAATTATTTGTCCGTGTCCACCGCAACCTTTTCAGATCTATTGTGGGACTCCATTTGTTTTAGAGTACGTCATCTAAGCTTGGATTTTTTTATTAGACTTAGTTTCCTTGACAGTGGCATCCACATGCATGTAGTTACATGTTTCTGGTTTTTCTTCATCTAGTATTAAAAACTTCAATCTAGTTAGGCTTTCACATTGGTGCAGGACGTGGATTGATGTTTCCTTTTCTTATTCACAGAACCCGAATAAATTAAAAAAAAAAAAAGAATAAACTACAAAATATCTTAGAATTTAAAAATAATTTAATTTTGGAATTGAAAACTTACTTTTTAGAAGATAAAAATAAATAAATACCTTGGGAGATTTTACTTCTAGTACGCACCAACTACGGTTGCTTATTACATTGTTCTTATTTCTTTTTTTGCAAAAAATGTAAAATGTATACGTGTATTTGATACGCCAAAATGACAAAATATCGCCCTAAAGGGGTTGAATTATCTGCAGCTTGCGCTAGTATCGCTTTTGCTCCCCTACCATAACTTCACACTGAGCGAATATAATCATCATACGTTTCCACATATACGTTTTCTATACTACTTCCCTCAACGAAGTATGTACTAAAAAATTTTATAAGTTTTCAATAATGGGTTTAGTACAATCAAAAAAGTGTACTTTGTGTTTATTAAACTACAACTGGGAGACAAGAGTTCTAAGCTATTTTTCACAGTATTTTAGACCTCAATAATACTTAGTTTCAAAAAAGAATTGTTTAACTAGGTGTAAGTAGACGTTTGCAATAAATACTTATAAATTATCTTTTATCTATATCAATACGAAAGTATATGTATATAGAGACACTTGTTTACTTACTTTATTAGCAAAACATTGGATTTCAAATAAAATGTTCGATTATTATACATAAATAAATCTTTAGGTGAAAAGTAATCTGAACAAACTTGGGCATCTTTCAGTTTTGAGATCTTCCTCATTTATTCGCAAGTTGTTCAGCCACAATGACATTGGACAATGTCTCTCGGAAACCTGTAAATGTATATATCATAAAATAACCAGTTTCTACAATTAGGTATTTTTATATCAAGAAATAAATAAAACCCTAGCATAGTTGTTATGCCCATGGATATCTACATTATTTACATTTCATGAGATTGATTTTGACATAACCTACCTGTGAAAATAGCGAGCATTGATTTTGGGTGGTTTTGGTCCGAAATGTTCGGAAACTATGCATCTCTTTACTATTTTGAAATGTATAATCACGTTTGTAGACAATTACTTTTATATAAATAAATAAAACAACAATAATCCACTAAAATAAAACACCCAACAACACTTTTAAAAACATACACAAACAGGGTTGCCCAATGTTCAATTAAAATATAGTATTTAATGGTTAAACCGATGTATCTTAGTGAACAAAATCTAAAAACATCTAATTTAAACACCGATTCAATGCAGAAAAAAATTAAATGAGAAATTTTATGAATATGATCCAGATTCTTGAATGAACTGTTAAATATTAAGCTCCATATTAAGTATCTTGAACCTTGAAACATTGGGAACTAAACATTATTATCCTTATGCATTTAATCGAAACAGAGACTGTGGCAACCTCTGCTGGTACTATCGTTTGTTGTGCATGCGATTATGGACCTTATTATCATACGACAATTGTTTATGTAAACAAGGCGTATCTATTCCAATACATGATCGAATGGTTTGCCATATCATAACCTGTCAAAACCCACTGGTAGCCATTTTGTTTGGAATGCCTAATTTATTTTAATTAATTTTGACAATACTCATTTGAAGTCGTAACTTATGTCTACGTGTGAACAAATAAAAAAAAAAAATGAAATTTCAACAGAGAGTATCTCGAATACGGATGCCTTTACCACAATTTTTTACTTACCTAACCTATTTTCGATATATTTCAATCTTAAACAAATATGGATAGAAAAACAATGCTAGAAAACCTTAGTTGACTTGCATATAAATATTTACTTTTTACTTTTCGGGTAACAAAGCTTTTGGAACCTTTTCAGCATTTCTGCAATATTTGGCGGAGTATCAGAATCAAAATCTTGGTATTTCATTATGAGATACAAATGAAAATGATTATTAAATATTAATCACGTTTTAAAGTAAATTTTGTACAAAACACAACAAATCGAACTGTCAAATTAAAATGTACCAAACCTAATTGATTTTTAAATAAAATTTGATCTGTACACTAATAGCCCAAGAGCCCACTGCAAATTTTTACCGTCATCTGATAACGAAATGAAATATATCCCAAAAGCATGGAAAAACATTGTACTTTACCAAATGGTACCTGTGCCAATCCCTATCCTGAGCAAAGTAGCTTAAAAAAATTATTTTATATTAAAAAAATCACATAAGGCATGACAGCTCTAATTTCGTTTGCCCTTAAAGTTTTCCAGAAAATAACATTCAAATATATCTTGATATATATCGTTAAAGGGAAATATTTTCTTCCTCTTAACATCGCACAAAAACATCTATCCACGATTAGTAGGTAAATATCATTAAAAATATGAATCAATGTTTGCTGATTTAAAAATTTATTTATTTGCCTATTGTTGTGATTCATTTTTACAGGTTGCCATAGAAACGACAAAAAAACTACTATGATTATGGTTTAAAATAATTGTCTAACAAGAGTTTATAAATATTATTGACAATCTCTGCAAATGGTTTATACAATACCATCCTTCTTCCTTTCATACATAAACATGGTTTAAAAGGTAGGTAAAAATATTAATAATTCAGGTTTAAAAGCGAGATTCGCAATGAATTAGGATTGTAATTTTCAGGGAAAACATAATTGTCTCTGTCATGTTTTATTTGATTTTTAGAATATAAAATATTTTTTTTTAACCACTTTGCGCAGGATAGGGATTGGCACAGGTGCAATTTGGTAAAGTACAATGTTGTTACATGCTATTGGAGCATATTTCATTTCGTTATCAGATGACGGTCGAAATTTGCAGTGGGCTCTCATACTATAATAAAATACCTAGTATTTAAACTATTATTTCATTAAAGTGATTTTAAGTAAGTACATAAAATTCGATTTTCTAAAACAATAAATACAAGAACTCACAAACTTACATTTTATTTTCATTATTTTATCTATTTAAAAACATACCACAACCGTAAAACTAATTTTCCTCAAGAAGGTAGTATGTGTCCCCTCCAAAGTTCCCTCTAAGCCGCGCGAATGTGGAGTCGTGCACTCATTTTTCGAAAGTTGTACAGCCGTTTTTGTATTCTACCCACAATGAACTTGTTCACTATATTTTTTTTTATTTTATAAAAGAATTACATCTATTCATTTATTTTTGATAAGGTAGGTGACGCATAGAGCAAGTAATGTATTTTGTTATTTAAGTTTCTATTTCGTATCCTAGAATCGGCCTTTCTTTTTCTTCCCTCCCATATACTTTTGTACCATGCACTCACCGAAAATTTTTGTGGGAATATTGGTGTACACACTGGTTAATCAAAGGTTGAGGTGAAGTGAGTCGTATTTAAAGTGTGCAAAGTGTTAGAAATATCTTCAGTTTTATATTTAAATAAAATTTGTCGAGCCCTTCCGGCAATT